GAAAATTATGCAAAAAATGGCTTCTTTATCGCCGGCAATGTGAAGCATAGTGATTCAAAACTAAGGAGCATGCTCTTAAGCTGAAGCTATTCGAACACTTTGCAGCCTAGAACCACCACTGCTACAGCACCAAGTCAACATAATTTGGAAAGTCGCAAGATCGCCATCCTGGCCTCTGTACTAATATTGTGTATGATGGTGATGGTTTAAGATTAGACCTTTTTAAATACGACGGTTCATAAATGAACAAACGTATAAATCCACTCCAAAAAGAAAAGAGGTATGCTAGAGCCGCCTCTGTGCTAAATACTTATAGTTTTTTCCAACAAAAAAGCTCGATGACGGCAAGGACTGAAAGCGCTACTAGTCACCGCTCGGCTCCTCAAATCCATGCTTTCTTGAATTTGTAACAATTTACATCAGAGCGCATTAGTGATTGTTCCAAACAATATCGCCTGGAGCGCGTTTTTTATTCCACATTGCTCATAGATCATAGCTCAGTGGTTTGAACATGGAACTGGTAAACATCACTATTGAGTAGCTGCAAAAATTGTTCAAAGAAGAGAAGCAGGATTTCAGGATCTTGGAAGGCGACTTTCTATGCGCTTGCTACACAAAGATTCCAAATCTGGGAGTGAACTTCACTGTTACAGATATTCTGAAATGGCAGTCTTACTTCTTTTCATATTCAGTGCTCAGTTCTTGACTTTTTCCAACAAAAACTATGAAATAGTTATGGGAAAACGAGATTGGAAAACGCTTCTGACAAATGATTATTCGATGGCCAAGTACATGTCGTTCTTTGCAGATGAAATTCAAAATATGATAACTGTTGAAGTTAGCCTCTTAATTTCTCATAATTCTGGCTTTTAGGGAGAGATTACTGTGTAAATTCGTCGATGGCTATAGCTGTTTCGACCCTCATTCGACCTCCTTCCATTAGTATGGAATTGCAGTATAATGCTAAGTGGCTTTAGCGTTAGCCTATAGTGCTGTTAATACTGGCCAGATCCAGTTCTAACAACGTAGAGAACTTGAGCCCTTACTGTAATTTATTTAAAAATTCTACAATTTCGTATCGAACGGCTATCACTAGACACTGGGTACCAAAGAATCTTCCGATAAATCTTCTTGGAACTATCTTCGGCCTAGCATTAATAGTACCTTACCTTCTTACATCCTATAGTAATGAGAAGAGGTGAAAGAGCCGCTCACATACGTTAATTTGAGTAACTCTAGCTACCCATTCAAAATAAATCACGAAGGCCTGGTCAGTATACTGGGTTAACTTTGATGCTGATTACGATTATGATACCACTCGAAGATTTTCGAGCAATTTTGTTATTTATTGATTTCTCGCATTTGCCTTGAGGTGCTGGGAAATGTGTACTAAGGTAAGCTTCTATGTTGGGATCGCTAACCATATAACAATTTAAAGATTTACTGGTTCACCAATTTTTCGCTCTTCGCTTTGGAATGCTGGAAAGTGGTGAACAATAGCATGCTCATTACGAATATGTATTCAATGAACATAATCTACTAGAGTGGTTTTTGTTATATTTCCTCCTTGCTATCAATTAATGTAAAAATGAGTAATAACATGCCGAATAAGAGCATGATGTTCATTCTTTGAGGCTTAGATTTGCTAAACTTGATTTCTGTAGTAAGGATCATTACAATTAAGCTGTGTTCCTTCTTAAAAGAGTTGTCATTAAAATACCCTGTCTGCTCTGAACCCGGCGGGGGTAGCCGTTGTAAGTTAGATCCTCAAATCTACAGTTTCCATTTCATTGAAATGGGTGTAGTTGTGTGTGGCGTCTACTGAGTTGTGGAGGTCCAGGTTTTTTCGAGACTTAAAAGAGCTTTCAAAGTTCAGAAGTTTCAAGTCAGGCCTCGGCACGAGGTCTCCAACCAGAACTTACGAGAACGAATCCCCGCTTGAAAATCCAGAAAATCACAAAACCCCCT